AGAGCTGTTTTCAAGGTGAAGAAAAAAGGGAAGTTTATTTTCTGACTCCAACATTTATAGTTTTCCAAAAGTGACAGCGGATTGGAGGGTGACAGTGTCACCTCTCCAATGACACTGGTTAAACCAACAGTCTATCAGATTTCTCCTCTTCCATAAAAGAATGCAAAACAATGAGTTATTTACAGAAAGTATGTGAGAAAGTTCACTACAAGAATGTCAACATCAGAAGGCTTAGAAAATCCTAGAAAACTAGGGTGACACTGCTTTGAGAAGAAGGTTGGACTAGAAATGTCCTGAGGTCCCTTCCAACTTGAATTTCCCTCTGATCCTAAACCATATCCAGACTGTTCCTTCTTTTGAAGAACCTTTCCAGAGCATCCAGGGTGTCAGGGAAGAGACACCACCACACCCTTCCAGACAGCAATTTCCTGATTTTTTGCAGACCAAATTTCATGCTGGTAAATCTGATATGGCCAAAGAAGATGGTCTTCAAGTCCCTTCCAACCCAAGTTATTCCATGATCCTATAGCAACTGGAGATGTCCCAAAACATGTTGAAATGAAGAAGCCATGACATCAAATTATTCTCAGGGATAGTGGTTTGCTCCCCCATCAGCCAGCAAACATCTCTTTGCTCCATCCACCGTTGGAAAAGCCAAAAAGAACTTTGGCAGTGACCACCACCAGCACCAAATTCCCCCCTTGCATGGAGCCAGTTTGCAAACAGAACACCCAAAAAATCCTTCCCATTTCCTGGTCACCCTCAGCCACCTCTGTTTCTTAGCCAAATTCTTCATTTACAAAGAGCAGTGGCTATAACAAAACAAGTCTGGGTAACTCAGGGTCAGCACTGCTATTTTTTGAGACGTTTCCTGTGCTTGCAGGATCTTGGTGTGTTGTGTCTCCATCACCTCCTGCATCTCCACCCTGTGTTTGATGGGTGTGTGGTGCCAGATTCAGGGTAGTATAAACAAGCAGATCTCAGCTTGTTGGAATAACTCACCCTTTTGTTTTCTTTGACCTGGGGGCTGCTTTTTTTTTTTTTTTTTTTTTTTTTTTTTTTTGTGGTAAGAATAAAACAGTAATTTCAGGCCAGAGGAAATTTTAATATCTCTCCTCCTAAAATAGCACTAGAGAAGAATGAAGATTTTCTAGCCTGAAGAACTTGGATAGATGGAGTAGGAGGCTTTTTATAGCCATCATCATTTATTCCTTAATTTTCCCTGCCCAGGTAAAAGTGGGAAACTTTTCAAAGAGTCTCATTTTATTCCTTTCTCAAGCTATTCATAAATTTTTCAGTGAGAGCTCTGTAGGCAGCAAGTCCATTCTCTGAGTGAACATCCATTGCCTGGAGGGTGGACTCCTCTGAAACATTCATGGGATCCCATAAATACAACAGGATCCCTTAAATCTGAGCAAAAAGGAAGAAAAACAGTTCTTAGGAAGCACAGCAAGGGACATGGTTTGTTTACCATGCAAGCAGAGCACAATTCGTGTTTTCTCTTCAAGAAATTGGAATTATTTCCTTAAAAGTGCTGTTGTAGTAGGAGAATAGCTCCTTGATGCTACAGAGGGATAAGGAAAAAGCAAATTGAAAGCCCTAAAGGATGGATCCTTGGCTGAAAGTGGGATTTGTGAGTCATAAAGCTTTTCTGTTTGGTTTTATTTGGAGCTGCTGACTCTGGGGTTATTTCTGGGGTTGCCTTTGCTCATCAAGGATGGAGACAGGTTTTCCTGGGGTTCCACCATCCTGGGAAGTCCTGCAGGATGGCTCATGGATGGTTCCTTAGTGTGCACCACGACATCAAAGCCATCCCACAGCCCACATTCCCAGCAGCAAACGTTTTCCATGGGGAAGGGTTGTGCAGGTCCCAGTAGGATGGGATGTACCAATCAATTTTTATATAAAATTCAGACTCCGGCCTCAGTGAGCAACCATCAGCCCAGGGTGGGAAGTTCAGGCATTCCTCATGGATGGGGGAATAAAGAACCTCTCCAGGTGCACATCTCAGGGTGAACAGCTAATTTTGGCCTCTCTGTGAGTACAGAATTTTTTGTCCAGCAGGGATTTGCTAAAAATAAACAGGTATCCAGGGAAGAGGGTGTGCAGGCAGCTGTCTCCATGGGGAGATGCCAACCCTGAGGTGCCCAAGCTGAAAACACAGGAAGGATCAGCCCTACCAGCTCAACCCAGATCTGCTGTTTACTTTTAGACAAGATCTGGGTCAGGAGGACCCAAAAAACATCATCAGCAGCTTTCCCCTCTTTCCAAACCACTCTGCTTCCCCTCTTCCTCTCTTTGGGAATTGTTGTGGGTTTCACTCATCTTTTGCAGCCCTCAAAACGTGCAACAATAGTGGGATAGGGAAGCTCAGGAAGCTGGAGAGCAGGAACAATAGCTGATGTCACCTTCTTTCCCCTTCCACCTCACCTCCCTCCTTCTCCAGGAAGCCTGACATCTCTGTTGGGTGTTTTCCAGGTTGTTGGCCTGATTTGTCACCCCAAGGGAAATAAGAGGCTGCAGGCCACAGCAGTGGCGTGAAATATCTCCTCTTGTTGGCTGAAAGAGTTTTTGGGGAAAAATATCCCTAAATCCAATCCTGGGAATATCCCTTTTCCCTCTCCTCTCCCACCATAGCCTTGGATGTGTTCCTGGGCTTCGGAGTGCCTGGGCAGGCTCATGGAGATGGAGAGGAGATGGAAGAGAGGACATGGAAGGAGCCAACACAGCACTCAGATGTTTCAGGGGAAGGATATGGTGTCAGGACATGTCTCCTTCCTTATGTTGGTGTTGGATGTAGAGGGGGCTTGGGAAAGGCTCCTGGAAGCTGGTGGTTCATGGACTGGCATGGGACAAGTAGCAGGAGCTCTGCAGGACACTGTCCCACCCAGCAAAGGACAAGAGGAGGAAGAGAGATGCATTTCGGGATCATTCTAGAGGAAAGCAAAGGGTTTTTGGCAATCCTATCCACTTTTCCTTCCAGACCTTCAGCTCCTGTTGGTGATGCTCCCTTAGCAAGCTCAAAGTGTGTCCAGGGGCTTCAAAAACAGGAAGAATTTGGGATTGGGATGGTGCCAGCTCCTTGTCAGCATAACCTGTGCCATGGGGACTTGTCTGTACATGGAACCATCAGAATCTTATCAAGGGCAGCTAAAATGCTTCCCAGTGGCTGCAGGGCAGCTGGGCCACGGCCCAGAATATTTATTTATCTTGTCTTTGCTCTGTGGCACTGAGCAAAGTCTGATTTGGTTTTTGGGGAAAAAAGGAAAGAGCACTTTGGAACGTGTTCTCACCTGCACCAAGTTAAAAGTGAGGTGGGAGTGAGAGTTCCTGAGTGTTCCCCACTGGATTGGCATATTTAGGATGGGAAAAGGAGCTTGCTCCAGGCAGCCCCATGTCTCCATCACACCCCAAAGCTGCAGATTTGGGGCTTTACACTGCTGCTGGTGTAATTAAAATAAGATGCAGACAAGGGGTGTTATCCCACTCTCCACCAGGGATGAGGAGCTGGGGAGATTAATGGTGCAGGGAACTCGTCAGAGATTAGCACTGGGGGATGGGGATTAACGTTCTGGGGGGGAATGAGAGCCTCCACAGCAAATTCAGCTTTTCTTGATGCTTACTCAACCTCTATTCCTTCCCCCAGGGGTGGATGGTGAAGCAGGAGCATGCAGGAGGAGCAGGATGTGTTCCCCTCAGCTGAGGGATGTGGGATTAACGGGTTTCAGCCCTGTGCCCCTCAAAGCCTGGCTCCAGATCCTTCCCTGAGTAGTGACGTCCTCAGTTCTTTGTAGATCCTTGCAGGTTTTCTGTGCAGGACCCAAAATCCCCGCCCCTGCTCCCTGGGGTGCTGCCTCAGTTGTTTGGCAATGGTGACACATCAGTAAAATAGGAAAAGACTGGGGAAGGGGTGTCAGGGGCCAGCAAGGCTGGGATCTCTGGGTAGAGCAGGCAAAACACCTTTAATTTCTGGTCTGAGGAGAATAAATAGTGTCTGTAAGAAGGGTTGTGCTGGTATTAGCACACAGAGGTGCTGGTTGGAAAGGGGGGTTATTTTTTGTGGATAACACAAAAGGGCCATGTGGGGTGCTGGTGACACCCACGAGGTCCCATGGTGGGTGCAATGCTGGGGTGACACAGGGATCCAGGGCATGTCTGTGTGCTGTAGGGTGTTTTTGGGGACAATACTTTGGGGACACCAGGGCACATCACTCCGAGGAGCTCCAGGACACACCACCCCTCGGGGCTCTGCAGGATATAGGGGTCTCCATGTCCCCCTGCTCCTCAGGGCTTGTTGTCACTCCTCCCTGGAGGCTTTTGTGTCACATATTCTCAGGGGGCTCTGTGTCACCCCTTCCTAAGGGTTTCAGGGGGTCCCAGGGGTCCCTTGTCCCCCTCCCCGGGGTCTCAGGGGGTGTCAGGGGCCCATTGACCCCCCCTCCTCGAAGTCTCAGGGGTCCCTTATCCCCCTCCCCGGTGTCTCAAGGGTCTCTTGTCCCCTCCCCGGCTCTCAGGGGGTCTGAGGAGGTCTCAGGGGTCCCTTGTCCCCTCCCCGGGTCTCAGGGGGTTTGAGGGGGTTTCAGGGGTCCCTTGTCCCCCGTCCCTGCCATCGGACGAGCCCACGCCCCATCGCGGGGGGGGGGGGGGGGGGGACATCAGCAGCGGAGGGGGCTGGACGCGCCCAAGAGCGAACGGCAGGGGGGGCGTGAGGGGTGTGTGAGCAGGGGGCTGGACTTGGACGAGCCCATTCCTGTCGAAGGGGTGACCAACCTCACCCCGTTATATCTACTCCCAGCTAGAGCCGCTATCCTAGAATTCCCAACCGCACTTCCTGTGAGAGGAGATAAAAACTCAGGATAAATCCTGGACGGACAGAAAAGCTGGGAGCAGAAGGAGCAGTGCGGGTGTGCCATATCCTTTCCTCCCCCGTGCCGAGTGGTGCGGGCGGCGCGGGGCGGGGCGCAGGGCCGCAGTGGCGGAGCCGCCCCGTCGCTCGGGCGCATCGCGGTCGCCATGGCGCTGTGCGGCCGCTCCGCGCTCCTCCCGCCGCCCCCGCGACACCGGCCCCGGCCCCGAGCCCCGGGGCCCTTCGTCAGGTACCGGAGGGGACAGCGGGGAAGGCGAGGAGAGGGGTGACAGCCAGCGGCAGGGCTGCGCTGAAGGGGCTGTGGGGTGGGGAGGGGGTGTGCGGGGTGGGGGGGTGTGTTGGAGGGGCGCTGAAGGGGGGATCTGGAGGGTTTTGGTAAATTTAGAAGGAATTTGGTGTGCGAGCAGTTGAGATTTTCACATCCGTGGCTCTGCTCGTGGAGGAAATAGCGTTAAACGCCGATTTGGGGGCGTTGGGGTGCGAGGGATGGGGAGCGCAGCGCTTTGGAGGCGCTGCAATCGAAGGGATAGGGAGGGGTTTTAAACCTTAAGATGGGGTCTTGAGGGGTTTGATCGGGGAGAATTTGGGGTGTTCGCAGAGTTAACGGGGCTGATTTGGGGTACAGTAGGGTTTAACACCTATGGAAGGTGTTGTGGGAAGGATGGGGCTGGGACAGGAGGGATAGGGCGTTCAGGAAAGGTTTTCCGGCTCTGAGCTCTGCGGGTGTTGCGGGCGGATTTGGGATCATTAAAGGGATTTGGGGGGCTGCAGCAGCGTGTGAGGGTCTGGGAACGAGAAAGAAAAGGATTGGCCATGATGGGGACAGGTAGATTTGGCAGGTGGCTGCCGGGAGGGAGCTACAGGACGGCAGACAGGAGCCTGATGTGACCTTGTGGATGGAGGGATTGTCACAGGCAGAATCCTGCTGGAGGAGGAGGATGTGTGGGTGAGGAGCAGCAGGACATCACCAGCAGGGCTGATGTGCACAGAGTGGCTTTGGGGTTGTGTTTCTGTAGGGGATAAACCTGGGACTGGTTTAGGAGAGGTCAGCGTGGTCTATTTTGGCGATAAAAGTTAAAAAACAGGCTTGTGAAAGGCAGGAAAAGTGAATTTTAGTGTAGGGTTAGCTGAGGTTTGGGAGGGGCTGAGAGGTTATGGAGAGAAAGGCGAGGTTGTGTTTGTATGGGGGTTTGTGGATACAAAGGTAATAAAATTTCCTGAGCTCTGAAAATATGTTGGGTAGGGCTTGACAAGAGCCGGGCTGTGGGGACATGCGAGATGGTGGCATTGGCTCTGTGGGAGCTCGGGTGTCAGCTCAGGTGTCCTTGGGTTGCCAGAGCTCTGTTTCCTTTTGGACACTTAAGGTGCACCCATGTGTATGATGCTGCAGCCCATTATCCGAATGGTTTGAATAGAGGAAACGGCCTCAAGGTGTGCCAGGAGAGGTTTAGGTTGGATATTAAGAAATATTTCTCTGCTGGGAGGATTGTCCAGCACTGAAACAAGCTGCCCAGGGCAGTGGTAGAGTGGCTAGATATTTAAAAAGCAGTTAAAAACCATTTTTGTGGTGCTTAGTGATGAGGTTTAATGGTGGCTTTGGCAGTGCTGGGGTAACAGTTGGACTCGATGCTCTTGGAGAGCTTTTCCAGCCGAAATAATTCCATGATTCTGTTTTATGGCACCACAAAGCACAACCCAGGAACTGAAGTGCTTGATGCTTTCAATAGTTGCAGCACAATACATGGAAGTATTCAGCAGTGGGAAGCCAGATAATCAGGGAAGGGAGACCTTGCACGTGAATCGCAGACAAACACTTGGCCAAGCTGCCTGGCTCTGTGCTTGCTGGAGATTTTCAATTAAAAAACAAACAAACACCCAAACCAAACAGCTTTTTATCTGAAGTGCAAGAAGGGAACAAAAGCATTTTCACTTTTTGGATGATTTGCCAGTGAAATGAGGAATTCTGCTGTGAGAGAGAGAGAAATGGAGGTTGTTGTGCTTGCTTGAAACACGTGAACACGGCTGGTTATGTTCCCCCTCTCTCTTTCTGAATTGAAAATAAGGCAGAAGGAAAAGTGACCTTTTCAAATAATTTTTTCACTGAATAAATTAGTGCTAATTATTTAGAAAGAGCTTGGTATTTTTTTAGAGCTGTGAACGATCTAAAAATTCATGATGGGTAATGAAATGCCAAGATGGTTAAAAAAAATGCTGAAAGAGAAAATGGTTTCCACTCAAGCCTTCCTCTTCCTGAGTGATTTTTGTAATCTGAGACCCTGTTTTAGAGTTGTCATGAGAACATTCAGACTCTCTGAACATCTGCAAGCTTTTGAGCTCCACTGGGAGATGCAGCCAGCAACTGTAATTTGGTGCATTTGTAGGAGCCATGTCATCTGTTAATTTTTTTTCCTCCTTAACACTCACTCTTGCGCAGTTCTTTTTTAAATTTTTTTTTTTTTATTGTCAGGCCAGATGGAGGCCAGTGTTTGCCATAAATTTCCCAGGCAGTCAGCAGATAGCAGGCAGTTAATAAAAATAACTTAAAACAAAACAATCTGTTACCCTCCCCCACCACCCCCAAGCTCCCAAACAGGAATGGAAAAATTCTTCAGACTATATAAAGACTAGAGAAAGGGCCAGAGATCATTCCTGGAGTTCTTCCACATGCTTGAGAGTTTTGGTCTGCCATGTGGCACCTTGGGAGCTGGCGACCCTCAGCATTGTAACAAGTAAAGAATGGGTTTGGAAATAGAAAGAAAAAATCCCTTAAGTAAGAGAGAAATGCTGCCCAAAAAAGGGGAAGTATTTTTGGGAGGTGATGTCATCTTTCCTGTGCCCGTGTTTGGTGGGGAATGAGTGTTTTCCTTGTGAATGCAGGCATTTCTGAACAAAAACCCTATGAAGTGCTTGTTTTAAATATCTACATCAGAAAATCAATGCAGATTTGTTCAATTTTAGAGCACTGTGCACTCACCCAATCTGAATTACCTTCATGTAAAACAGAGCAAGCAAATCCTCATTATTCATTATCCATGCTGGTAACATAATACAGATGAGTGCTCACCATGTGGGGAAATGCAAAATGAGTCCTTGGGTTAATTTTTCTGTTGTCTCTTCCTCTGTGCTTAACATTCTCCTGCTCTGTTGTTAATCACATCGTGGTTAAATATGTGGCTTTTTGGTTTTTTTCCCATGAATTTTATTTGGGAGCACGGGACCAAAGAGTTGTTGTGGTTTCCCAATCAGTTTTTGTAGGGGTCTTGTCTGTGATGCAAGATGAACAAATTTTCCTGTGCCTGTGTGTTCCTTATGTAATTATGCTGAGGTTCAGGATTTTGTAAGAGCACACTTGCACTGGAATTATTATTTTTCTTTAAGGAATGTGCTGTATTTTAGCAATGCAAAGACAGAGCTGATTTCACTTGAAGTACAGGAGGAAAAAAAGAGAAACAACGCCCATTCCTTTAATATGGATGATTTTCTGCCACCTTAGGGAAATAGGAATGCTTAGGGTCTGCTACAGTGAGAATTGAAGAGTGTGGGAGCATTTGATTGATGGGAATAGGGAGGAAGAAGAAGAGAAAATTGCCAGGGAGAGGAGCAGAGCTTTGGTGTGGATCTTCCAGCTGGAATTCTCCCTTTGTGATCATCTCAGCATCTGATTTGGAGCTTTGTGGCCACGTGGCTGCAGAAGTCCTGGCCCAAGAATGAGCCCTGAAGGTGAATTTATTTTTGAGGCACTGAAAATCAGCTTTGATTTTTGCCCAAGTGCCAGGCAGTGCCCTGTCCTTTTAATCAGAGCGAATGATGGCAGAATAATCACCCTGGGGCTGCTGCTCTTTGTCACTTTTTCAATTATTGACATTTTCTCAGCTGATGATATTTTTGGAAGGGAAAAGTTGGTGCTCTCCATAATGTGCTGCAACACAAGAAAATGAAAATACAGAGATAGTTTTTTGTAAATCAGCCTGTTAAAGAGAGAGAACATCAAGGCTGAAGGTCTGACTGATGGGCAACCCAGAATTTAGTAAATATCCTGAAAAAGTTTGTGATTGTGCAGAACAACATCAGGCAGTTCCAGATGTTTAGTAAGGAGAGATTCAGCCTTGTTTCTCTGTGCTTTGAGGTCTCTGGGTTACAGAATTGAATATTTCTGTCCATTGAAGGTCAAGATTTCGTCCTGAATAGTCCACTTAAGGTCATGATTTGATCCTGAAAATGCACACAAAATTAAAATTTATTTTTCTATGTCCAGTTTTTTCTCACTGTTCCTAAAAAATTACTTGAGCTCCTGTTTATCGTCAATATCCCAATGCAAATTTCTCTCCCTGTGTAGAGAAATTTGCAAAATAGCTGGAAAATCGACAAATATTTTAAGGTGAGTGAATGTGGTCTTTTATGAATACCAAGCAGTGAAAGATTTATTTTGAAATTAATGAAATTCTGAGAGTCTTTAGCTCAATCTGATTTCTGGTGTCTGTTTTCACAGCTGCAGTGAGGTGGGGATAATGTCAGACTGTGGGAAATCCAGGAAAATCCGGGATTCTTAAAACAAGCAAACATTTCTGATAGAAATCATGAGGTCAACAAAAAACCCAAGAAATATAAACTTGATTTTTCAGGGGCTAAAATGGAAACAGATGTTCACAACAGAGAGTTAACAAGAAGTGAGACTTGGGGAAAAAACCCCTGTGATTTATAATTCTGTTTAATTGATTTATTTATGGTGAATCAGGCTGTTAATGGTAAAACCATTGGCTTTGGTAGGATCTATTCAAGGTGAGGATTTCTCCCAATGTGGGGATATCTCTGATTTTTCCTGCCATCCATCCAGCCTCAGCCATGTGCAGGTTTTTAGGGCTGCCAAGCCTTTGTGGGGGAGGAGCAAAAACATCTCCCAAGAGGAGGTGAAACACAGGGAAAGCAGCGAAATGCCAGCCTTGGTCAGCTGAACTGGGCACAGTGAAACAGAGCTGCAGCCTGCCAGGCTGTGGGAAGCCTCTGGGAATTGGGAACCCACCAGGAATTGGGAATCCACCCCTGCCAGGCTGTGGGAATCCTCTGGGAATTGGGAACCCACCAGGAATTGGGAATCCACCCCTGCCAGGCTGTGGGAATCCTCTGGGAATTGGGAATCCACCCCTTCCAGGCTGTGGGAATCCTCTGGGAATTGGGAACCCACCAGGAATTTGGAATCCACCCCTTCCAGGCTGTGGGAATCCTCTGGGA